GTTTGGGCCATGGAGTTGGGACTCGCTGACTGAGGCCCCTAGCAGTGGAGCCCAACACTGAGGAGGAAGTGCCAAAAAAAATTGGGCACAACAGAGACACCAGAAAAATAAAGAGACATTTCAGATAAGCTCGGAGGAAGGGAACAGAGAATGGCCAGGTCAGAAAGTAATGTGTGTACAGCTATAGGTTTAAAGGCTTTGTGGTAATAACAGAAAAGAGAATTCTAAAAGTATAAGGCTGGGAAATCTGACTGGGCCGCATCCATTTTTCTACACGAGAGAATCCCCTCCCATCTCATCTGCACAGAGAGAGGACTGTGGTAAAATCCCACACAAGGCCAGTAGGAGAAAAAGGGAGGATGAGAAGCATGTTCCTATGGGTGATGAATCTGTCCCACAAAGAGACACCCATGAGGCAGCTGGACACTGAATATTTCACCACAGGCTAAAAGAGATTGAGAAACTGATGCTAGGAGACAAGTGGAGTAAATGTAATCATTAGACAAAAAAAAAAAAAAGAAGATTTGAAAAAAGTGCTAACAGGAAGGACAGCTTATAAAAGGAAATCTAGGGCTGGGGGTTTAGCTCAGTGGTTCAGGCGTCTGCCTCACGAGCGCAAGGTCCCAAGTTCAATCGCTGGTACCAAAAAAAAAGGAAATCTATCTCAAAAAATGTAACTAGGAACTAGGTAGGATAAAAGAGTGAATAGTGACTATGGATAATATCATATGATAAACAGAGGATGGAAAGAGGAAAGTAAAAAATAAAGTGAGCTAGAAATGAATAAAGAGGGCCAGGTGTGATGTAGCACACCTGTAATCCCAGCACTCAGGGGACTGAGGCAAGAGGACTGCTGCAAGTTTGAGGCCAGCCTGCACTGCAAAGAGAGAACTTGTCTCAAAAAAAGAAAAGAAATGAACAAAGAGATTTTAAAGAGAATACAAGAAGTCGTAAGTATAGATGATAAACAAGGAAGGTGCAACATACATACAAGGCCCTGAAGAAGAAAAACAAAGCAATGAAGAGAATAAATGTAAAAGCAATAATTCGGGGATTTTTTTTTCTCTTGAAATAAAAAAGACTTGAACTTACATCTTTTTAAATTTGTTTTTGATATATAAAAGTATAAAGTTATACATATTAATGGAGCACCTTGTGCCGATGTATGATGCCGATTGTGTGGTGTATATATATCTTGCGTAATGTTTAATCAGATCAAACATTCCTATCTCCTCATACATTTATGCTTCATGGTGAAAGCTTTCTCCTAGACATTTGAAATGCACAGCACTTTGTTGTTTCTAGCCGCCTTCCTGTACACACCAGAGCTCCTTGCTGCCATCTAATCATGGCTTAGTATCCACTGTAACTTAGTACCCATCCTTTCCTCCCTCCACCCTCCCAGCCTCTTGTAACCATTCTGCTCTCAGCTTTCACATGAGAGAGATCCCTGGTCCTTCTGCGCCTGGCATATCCCACGTCCATCCATGTTGCTACAGATGACATGAGTTCTTCCTTTTCAGGTAGAGTAGTGCTCGGTGTTTATGGGCCACATTCTCTTTATCATCAGTTGGTGAGCACTGAAGTTGCTTCTGTTCCCTGGTGAGTCATGCTACATTGAACAGGGGTGTGCAGAGGTCTCTGAGGCTGCATCTGGACAGAGACATGGTCTAATAAAACTGCCAAGAGTGAAGGAGAACCCTGCTGGGCATCCAGACAAAGAGAAGAAGTGCGTTTTAAGTGGAAATGAATTTGACTGGCATCAGGCTTTTCTACAGCAGCACTTTGCCCCAGAGGTCAATAAAACAGCATATCAGGTGCTCAGGAAAGGAAAAGGGGACCTAGGACTTCATATCCAGCCTCGGATCAACTATTGTGCCCATGCAGGAGCCTGGGGGTTATCATGTCCCACAAACCTTTCCGAAGCCATTTACTACAGAATGAGGCATAGAAAAACAAATAGGCTGGAAAGGTGTTCGTGTGAGGCCTGGCAGTGAGAATTGTATTTCTAGTCACCTGTAGAATTCACAGTGCATAGTGGCTGGAAGGGAGATAATACAGTACATAATGCTTGTGTGTTAGGTGATGCAGATACAGCCAGTATATTAACAATCAGGGGGAAGTGGAGGGTGTATATGAAAATCAGCACAGAATCAGTCCACAGACAGAAGTATTAACTGGAGGCAAAAGGGAAATTATTCAAAGTAGATGGTAAGGGAAACAAAAGCTACTGGATAGCATCAATATCGCTCACAGTAGGCAGTGTTTAAAAAGGGGTTGGATGACCAGGTGTGGTGTCCCACACCTGTAATCCCAGCACTCTGGGAGGCTGAGGCAGGAGGATCACAAGCTTAAGGCCAGTCTGGGCAACATAGTGAGACCTTGTCTCAAATATAAAATCAAGAGGGGGCTGCAAATGTAGCTCAGTGCAGAGGCCCTGGGTTAAATCCCTGCTACCACAAAAGGTTAGGAGGTGGGCTGACTTAGGGTATTGCATGAAGATTCTGATGTGATGGTAACCAACATAATGGAAAAAAACATGCTTTTTCCCATAGAGGCCAGGGAGCAAGAGGGGGTAGGGGACACGACATGCCCCCTTCTCCAGGCAGCCTTCTTAGGTTGCTTTCCACACCCCATCCACCTCTCCCAGGCACTGGACACCGTGTTTTTTGCACATTTTATTTCCCCTGAGAAAAGAGGTGTGGTGCTGTATAATTTCTCAGCGCCTCCTTCAGAGCCTGGCCCAGGATTCTGCACACAAAAGGCAGAATGTGTATGTGCTGCTCCACCAGTAATTCAGGACTCCTGGAAGGATCAGGGTTTACACCCTCTAGGTTTTCTCAGAGTTTAACGTTGCTGTCATCAGAAAGTTTTCAGTTTGGTGTGAGAGTGGTCCTTTGAAGAGAAAAGTTCTTGGAGAACTGGTTTCAGGCATGGCTGGGTCCAGGGACTCAAGTCGTGTTGCCAGGATCTGACTCGCTTGGTTCCCAACTCTGGTTGCCTGTGGAATGGCTTGATTCCAATTCCCAGGCAAATTCTTCCCTGTGGGCAATGATGGCTCCCAGAATTTACAATCTGAACATCTCCATCAGAAAAGCAGGTGTCCTGCGGGTGTAGTGGCACATGTCTGTCATCCCAACCCTCCGGAGGCTGAGGCCCGGAGGATCACCATGAGTTTGAGGTCAGTTTGGGCTACATAGTGAATTCAAGGCCAACCTAAACTATATAGTGAGGCCCTGTCTCGAAAAAGAAAACAAAAGAATGAATGAAAATGAAAAAAAGAAAAGAAGGTGTCCCGTTGCCATTGCTCCAGTCAGTGTTGCAGGACCCTGGCTGGCTCACTTCCTCTGCTCACTCCTGACCAGTCACTGTGTCTGAGGAAAGCTTTGATTGCCTCCCCACCAAGCACCTCTGTGTGGGACCAGCGAGGAGCTGGGACGCAGCAGAGATGGATGGGCACAGAGTAGGGAAAGCCAGCACCTGTCCGGCACACAATGGAGTCTGGTTACGCTGGGGAGCTGGCTTTCTGCTTTTCTGGATTCGTCTGTCGCCTTAGCCTCAGCACCTCCTCTTGATCTGCAAAGGGCCGCCACATGGACAAGAAAGCTGTGGTTGTATGAGCCTAAAGTCAGGAACAGGAAGGGAGAGCTCTTCTCATTTAAAGAAATGTTCTGCTAGAGCTCTCTAAAGAAGAAAGGGCTGTGTGGAGAGGTAGTGAGCTCCCTGCCACTGGCAGTAATCAAACAGAGACTATTCTGTCAGGAGGACTCAGAAGAGAGTGCTTTGTTGGGGGAGAGGGCTACACCAGAGGGCTTCTGAAGCTGGGGAAGAAGTAAACATGTATCCACACAGGTGGGTGTCCGTGGATTTGCTGGATGGCTTTGGACACTTAATCACCCTCTGTTCATTCCTCAGTGTCCTCCGCCTTCAGAGGGGCTGATGGCGCCTAGGGTTGCTGAACAGTCCTATGTTGTGGGCACGGTGCCCACACATCCTCAGCACTCACCTAGCGTCTGCTGTGTGTCATCCGTTGTGTGGGGCCCTGTTCCTTGGGTGGCACTGGGTGCCAGGTGCAAGTCCCATCAGCCCATGTCAGGTTTTGCCATAGGCTTTCCTTGGTGACTCCAGGAGGTGAGTTCAGAGAGTGCCCAGGAGATGCCAGCAAAGCTGCTGTAACCTGAAGGGCTTGGGTCCTTGGAGGATTTGGTGATTCAGAAAGTAGCCACCATGTGTGCTGCATGAGAAGCAGAGGGCCCTGTTTTGGGAGCTGATCAGAACTTGCTGGGTGCTCAGTGAAGCCATGGTCTTCCTCCTGGAGAAAAGCCTGGCTTTGGACTGAGCCTTGCCTGCTTAGGAGTGACTCTCCTCACTCTGGGAGCCCTTACTTCTGTCTCCTGAGTCTTCCCAGCAGTCCTGGTAGAAGCTCCTTTCCTGCTTTGCAGATGATGACCCTGAACCTCAGAGAGGTTAAGCAACTCCCCGAGCCACACAGCTCAGCTGGGGACCCGGATATCCAGATTCAGGCTGTCTAGTGAGCTACTTATTATCTAGGCCCTCCAGGAAACTCTGGAATTCATTGAGGACTTTTCTAGTGAATGAAGCAGTTCCCAAGAACACAGTACCATTGAAAATGGGTCCTGGCCCGGGGATTTAGCTCAGTGGTGCCACCGCCTGCCTCACAAGCGCAAGGTCCTGAGTTTGATCCCTGGTACCAAAAAAATAAAGAAAACAGGTCCTTGGCTAGGCATGCTGTGCATGCCTCTAATCCCAGCCCTCAGGAGGCTGAAGCAAGAGGATTGCTGGGAGTTCAAGGCCAGCCTGAACTACATAGCAAAACCCTGTCTGAAAAAAGGGGGTGAGGTGGGAGGATGTCGTGAGAAGGTAGGAAGTTTGATGATCACTTTGCGCATTATTTTGGAGGGTGGGCAACCAGGGAGAGCAAGCCCCTCCAGAACCCCACTCTGACTGCCTCTCTTCTGCCTGCTTCCCTGTCCCTGCAGGTGTGGGTGGATGCCGGGACCCAGATCTTCTTCTCCTATGCCATCTGCCTGGGCTGCCTGACTGCCCTGGGGAGCTACAACAACTACAACAACAACTGCTACAGGTGAGCGGCCGGGCCTGCCGCCTCCTACCCTCCTGCTGCCCTGCTACATTCCAGTCACCCATCACCTGCAGGCCCGTGAGGGAACAGGCAGCCCAGCTGGCCTCTCCCTGCCCCAGGTCAGAGGTGGAACTCAAGGAACTGGGCAAATAAGGATGGGCCACCGTTGGTGCAGGCACCACGTGCATCTGCCCTGGGGTCTCAGACCCAGCCACCTGGCATGGGTCACAGGTACCCTGGCGGGGGAAGGGCTGTACCACAGGCACACCGACAAAAAGCGGCCTAGCCCAGGCCCCCACCAGGGCCTCCAGCACTGAGCGCTTGTTCTTCTGCCTCACGTCCTCCCCCCGTCCTGCCTGCAGGCCTGGGGTCCCACCTGGCCCCCAGCCTGGCCAGCCTCCCTGGCCTCCTGCAGCAGTCACTCCAGGCTTCCTGACCCTGCCTGGCCTCTCATGCCTGGGCCCTGTGCTCCTCGGCCAGGCTGAGACGCACAGAGGGCAAAGGTTCCATCACTGCAGTGGCCTCTAGCTGTCACTCCACGAGGCCCCAGGGGTGTCCTCACCCACACTGGGTACCTCCACCCTGATCTGGTGAGGAAGCGAGACAGTGGTTGTCACCTATGCCGGCTTGGGCAGGGGAGCACGGTCTCGTCTCTGGAGGTGGGTAGCTCTCCACCCAGCCTCCCTGGCTCCCACACAAGGCATGACCACGTCCTTCCGGGCTGTGGGCCGAGGCTTGCCACCAGCCCACGTCTGGGGCTGTGCTTCCTCCCTGCCAGGCTGGTAATAAACACTGGCCCCTGTGGCTCCCTGAAGGAAGGGACTCTCCCTCCCTGCCTTCTCATCAGCAGGAGACAGCAGACGCCCCAGGGGACATTGCAGCATCACAAGGCCCATGTGTGTTCTGTGTCCAAACCGCTCTGTGTGCTGGCCTTCCTGATGTGGAGCCCAGAATGAGCACCCCTGCCCCTGAGTGGCTCAGCGTCCTGCTGACCTCAAAGTGCTGTTACATAAGCCGAGGGGGGGATGGGGCAGGAGTGACCGGACTGCGGGCTACATGGGCTTCAGACACGCTGGTGGCAAGCAGGCGGGTCACAGGCTGGAAGGGACGTCAGGCCCCTCCACCTCTCTGTCCCTCCGTCTGTCCCTGTGGGGTACGAGGAGGTCACTTGAGAGGCCGCTATGGGAGGATGGGGGTTTTGTGATGAAGGACATTCATCTTTCACCTGTGTGAGGCCTGGGACAGTTGTCCAAAGGTCAGGCTTTGGGAGTCTGTGTTCCTAGAGGTTGTTTGCATTTAGCTCCCAGACAGGGCATCGTGGACAGCTGGACCATGTGACCCTGTTTCTGGACCTCGGGTTGGGGGGAGTCCTCACTGGGGTGACACGTGGCACGTCCTTAAAGAGCAGGACAGGAGACAGAACACAGCCCCTGCAGAGAACACGCTTCCCTCCCCTGGGAGCAGAGGAAATTCAGGTTTGCAGGTAACATCCCCAGGTCCACCAGCCCAGCCAGTGCCCACAGAGCCAGAAACATCATTTAAGGGGACCATATCTGTCATCCACTGCCCCGAGGATGCTGCATAACAAATAGGCCCCGGCCTCGGGCTGACCACTGAGCATATTTGCCTTTATGGCTCCAAGGCTGCTGGTCAGCTTGGGGTGCTGTCCTGCGACTGGGGGCCTGGTGGGGTTGGCCTCAGGTCCAGTTCATCCCTGCTGTGTGTGCCCATGGGGGGTCCAGGCTGACAGATGGCAGCTCCGGGGAGTGGAGGGACGAGTCCAGTTATGTGACAACCCAAGCCCCTCTTGGGGTCACATCTGCTTGGTCTCCTTGTCCCAAGCAAGTCGTGTGCCTGAGCCAGAGTTGGCGGAGCAGGAAATGTGCTCCCCCCTGGGGAAGGGGGCAGGGGAGTGACTGCTTGCTGAGAAATGACTCCATCTGCACAAGGCCCCCAGGACCCTGCAATCCAAACACCTCTTCTGCAGCAGGGGAGACGAGGCCTGAAGGACGGACAGCACGGGGGGATTGGGACCCAGGGCTCCTAACCCCAATCTGATGCTCTCTCCACTGTGCCCTCACTGCCAGGGTCACTGCAAAGTGGCAGAGTCACCAACATTAACATAACCTTTGGTTGCATTGCAAAAGATATGGTGTTGGGAGAAGAGGAGATGAGGTGGCTCTGTTTATGCCTGCTCTGTCCTGGTGTGCTGCTGGAAGAGGGGCCAGGTGAGGTGAGCCAGAACAGGGGGCCGGAGATGGCGCTGGGGTCTGGAGACGTGGCTGGAGTGGAGTGGCCAGGATGGTGTCCCCGTGGTCCCAACTCAGCCACCGAGTTCCAAGCACAACGTGGCCACTTCTTGCCAGAGACGCAGCCCTGTCCCTCACCGAAGCTCCCCGCTCTGTCCCGCCGGCTCTTAACCACTGGGAATCCGATCCCCCTCCAGGCTTTCCCCCTTCCAGGGACCCAGAAGAGCATGGGTGACCCCCTCTCCGCCCTTGCTAGATCTGCACCCCCACATGCCAACTGCCCGACCCCGCTCGCCTCTGTGCTCTGACCCATGACCACCTTGTCCTCTAGAAGTGGGGAGAAGCTGTGTGACCCTGGACTGGCCACCTAGCCCCTCTGAGCCTCCAGAATCTCATCTGTGCCTGCTCTCCCCAGACGGCCGTGACAGCTGGCGGAGGACATTGCAGCCGTGTACTGCCCCATGCGCTGATCCAAGCCCTGTGTCTGTTCCCGCAGGGACTGCATCATGCTCTGTTGCCTGAACAGCGGCACCAGCTTCGTGGCCGGCTTTGCCATCTTCTCGGTCTTGGGCTTCATGGCTTATGAGCAGGGCGTGCCCATCGCCGAGGTGGCCGAGTCTGGTGAGTGGCCGTAGCTGGGGCCGTGGGAGGCCTGGAGGCCTGGGGTCTGCATGTCCTGGGTGTGGGTCTCAGGTCCCGCTGTTTTTCTCAGCGCGGGGCCCTGGGAGGGAAGCCAGGCCCCTTCCTGCTGAGACCATAGCACCACCTCATGTCCCAGCCCTACCATCTCCCTGGCACACTCACCTGTGCTTCAGGGAGCCCTTTGCTGGCCTCCCTGCCTCCTCTGCTGTCCTCTGCAGTCCGTGCTGACCATGCAGCATGGTATTGTCACAGCACTGCCCTGAGCGTGGCCCACCCGTCTCTTCCTGTATGCCACCCTACACCATGTGGGGTCTGTTACCCCTTCCTCCCTCCACCCCAGGGCCTTTGCACACTCTACTCCCTGGGCTCTGTTCCAGAGCAGAGTCACCATGGGTGTCTCAGCCTTAAGTGTGGGTTGACGTGCTTGCATCACACCCACCACAGGCAGGGTACCAGTGGGAAAGGGTGAGAACTCCCCCCTTGGTTATGTGGTGCCTGCCTGTGTCCTGGGAAAAGACCATGCACGTGTATGAGAATGTGCAAGAATAGTTGGTGTTCACAGGCAACTGGCAGGCAGGGTGAGCCTGCAGGCAGGGAAGTGCTGTCAACTCCCACTGTCCTGTGGCATGGGAGATCTGCCAAGATCAGCCCTGGACACTAACCTCCTGGGCTCCTGTCTGCTTGTCCACCAGGCAGCACCTATGCAGGCTCCCGGAGGGATGAGGACACCGAGCTCTGCAGGGTCTGGCTGGGGATCATGCATGTCAGGGCCCAAGATGGTCATGCACAGAGCCAGGCCCAAGCAGACCCAAGGACACTGAGTTGGAGCCAGGCAAGAGCTGCCTCCCATGTTCTCCTTCATGGGCCTCTACTTGGCACTCAGAGGTGGCACTTTTGGCAGGGCATGGTGCCACACGCCTGTAATCCCAGCACTCAGCACTCCGGCTGAGGCAGGAGGATCACCACGAGTTCAAGGTGGACTACACAGGGAGACCCTGTCCGAAAAACAAAAGAAAAGTGGCATTTTTACCACCTCCATTTCACAGATAAGGAAGCCAAGGCTGAGAGAGCTGAGGTCATTTACTGCAACTTCAACCTGGCCATCTGGCTCTGGCTGGGGTGCCAGCGCTTCCCACTGCACCCACCCCAAGAGCAGCACCATAGGGGAGATGCTTTTCCCAGAGTCCTTTTCACCTCTGTAAAGGAACTGCTGGCTCACTTGCCAGTGTTAAGGGAGAGGGTATCCGCACGCTGTTGCAACCCTTTCTGTTGCAGAAGAGGTGCATCCTACAGAGGAGCCATGGTAAAGAGGGACGGAGCCCACTAAGAGTAAATCTTACTGGGCTTGTGTTTCCTTGTTTCACAATGAAAGCGTATTCATCATAGAAATATGCAGAGCTGTAGACAAAGGAGAAAGTCCAATGTGAACCCCATGTAGCATTTTGGGGCGGTGCTGCCAGGGCCCCTGTGCATGGGTAGCTGGGCCGTGTGACATTGGTACCTGTGGGCTGGAGCCCTTGGTTCCTGGCAGAGGAGGAGCAGCTCCCTGCCTTGGTTGAAAGAGATCCACCATTTCAGCAGCCATGTGGTCTCCCTTGAATAGATGCATGAAGTGGATCTTTTGCATCTGCTCATCAGGCCCAGGGTTTGAAGTTTCCGTGGCCTGTGACCCATGAAATGCTCCTGTCCTCTCTGTGAGGTCGGCTGTCAGGGCCTCTGCCCTGGGCTTCACACCAGGGCGCCATTCACACACCAGCTCTGGGCTTTCCAGTGCCTGTCACAGATGAGGACCCAACAGCTCAGAGAGGTGAAGGGATTCACCCAAAGTCGTAAGTGGCACAGCCTGCATCTGGCCTCTTCTGTCTCATCTGCCTATGTCACTCGCAATGCCAAACAGGAGATCCCAGTCTGTGGTCCTGATGGGCAAGCAGGCAAGACCCTCCTGAGGAGTTCTCCCCATTCAGAGCTAGCTAGAGTTTCAGCTGAATGTGTAGCCACCTCACCTTCCTCAGGGGACCCCGTCGCACTTTCTGACAAAGGGATTTTGGAACATACTGTAGTGAAATAGTCCCTGGTATTCTCCATGGGCTGAGCCAGGCAGCCCTGAAACTGAGCCAGGAGGAGAAGGCACCAGGCGCAGACTGTGTCCTGCTCCCAGCCCAGTGCCTGGATCTGCTGAGCTCCTCGAAGATCCCAAAGCCCATCTCTTGGATGCTTTCTAGTTCCATCCTGGGGGTGGGAGGAGTTCACACAGTTTGAGGCTTGGTCTTGTGTTTATACCCAGTCTGATCATCTCTGCCTTCTAACTGGATGTTTGGACCATTTGCATTTTTAAATTAGCGATATGACTCAGTCCTGAAGTCTATGTCAAGGCAAAGTGTCAGAATGATAATCAGAAGTGGGCAGGGTCAGATGCATGGCAGAAGGGCAAAGTGATGCATTATTAACTCAAGGTAGACTTTAGTAAGTTACAGAAGCATATTGTTGGCCAAGCTCCCTAAAAAATAATTTAAAGAGGTAGAACTAAAAAGCTAATACATGAAATAAAGCTGAATATGAAAAAATACTGCTTAGCCCAAAAGAAGGCAAGAAAAGTACAACAGAGTAAAACAAAGTGAAATAAACAAACAAAATGATAAGGCTCAAAGGGAAACAAATACAAAATAGTAGACTTAAACTCAACTACACCAATGATTATATTAAATGTAAATAGACCAAATATGTCATTTAAAAGGCAGAGATTATCAGACTGAATTAAAAAGAAAACAAGACCCAACTATAAAACATCTAAAAGAGATGCACTTTAAATTTAAAGGTACAGATACATAAAATGTAAAAAAAAAAAAAAAGGGAGGAAGGAAAACAGTAACCATAAAAAATTGGCTTAGCTATATTTGTGTTAGACAAAGTAGACATAAAGTCAAAAAGAATTGCTAGAGATAAAGGTGGACATTTTATAATGATCAAAGGGGCAATTCATTGGGAAGATCTAATAGTCCTAAATGTCTTTGCACTAGACAGCAGGCACTTAAAATAAATGTAACTTTTTTAAACTGATGGAACTAAAGGGGAAAATAGACAAATCCATAATCATGGTTGGAGATTTTAACTCCTGTCTCACTCATGGTAGAGCGACTATACAAAATATCAGTGAAGACATGGAGACCTAAACAACACTGTCAACCACATTAGTCAACATTTATAAAACTCTGCAGAATATATTTTTTTCCAAATGAATCTGGAACATTCACCAAAGTGGACCATACAGTGGGCCTAAAATAAGTTTCAATGTATTCAAAAGATTGAAATCATACAGAGTATGTCCTCTTGCTACCACTGAGTGAAATTAGAAATCCATAACAAAAAGATATCTAGGAAACCCCCAAATATGAATTATTTAGGCAACATACTTCTACATATCCTATAGTTCAAAGAAGAAAATATTTCAAGCCTAATGGTAACGTAAACACAACATGTCAAAATTTGTGGACAATGACACAATTAAACTAGAGAGTTTATAGAATACCCAATAACATAAAAATGAGCTTGATTTTGAGAAAAGTCCAATCCATGCAGTTACTGCAGAAAGTCTTACACAAAATTCCTTGCCAGGTCAGAAAGGTATAATCTGCATAACTATGGAGAATGTATTCCAGAAAGGTGCAAGGTTGCTTTAGTGTAGGAAGCCCATTAATTTTGTACACCATATTCACAGATCTAACAAGAAATCATAAGATTATTATATCTCCATAGATGTACAAAAAACCTTTGGCAAAGTTTAACACCAACCTATGATTGAAAATAAGAAAGAACTTGGGGGGTATTTTTTAAAATGCTGTGTGTGTAAATGTTTAAAAAAGCAAATATCAGTGTTATTCTACCCATCATGGGAGGAACGAAGGGGATATAAGAAAATATGTCTTCTCTTTGTGCAAAGGAAATAGAGGAAGGATGAACTGGAAACAGAGCATGGTTACCTTGCTGAGGTGGGTAGAAAAGGCCTGGAGAGGAAGGCCAGGAATGAGTAATAGGATGGGAAGGAAGCAAGCACCCCCCACTTGCACCCCTACTGTGGGTGTTTTTTTCAGTACTGAGCCTGAGCCCAGGGCTTCACATATGCTCCACAAATGCTCTACCACTGAGCTACATCCTCTTTTTATTTTCATTTCGGGGACAGGGTCTCACTAAATTGCCCAGACTGGCCTCAGATTTTCAAGCCTCCTGTCTTGGCCTCCCGAGGAGCTGGCATTGCTGGCATGCATCACTGCCCCAGCTCCTGATGTGTCTTTGTTATTAGCCTTGACTCTTGGTATCTTCACAAACCACCCAGAATAAATAAACCATTAGTCTGGGGGCAAGGGCAAAATGAAATGCAAACAGTACCAGATGGATCTAACTATTACAAATGACCAACGACTCATGTAGCCACACTCGAAATGGTGGAGAAGAAAAAGCTCACCTGAGAAACATTGAGAAACTTTTTCGAGGGGGGACTGTAAATGCAAAGACAAAAGTTATTTTACTTGTGTTAGTAGAGGGGTATGGGTTAGCAGTTCTGCAATTCTGCATATGAAGGTTGAACAGCAGTCAATATATTAGGTCCATTACAGTCATTTTTACATTGTCTGAGAAAGCAGTTAGAAATAAGGAAAGTGGAGAGTAGAATGAACTTTATTGCAATCAGAAGTTTTAGCATATTGGAACGCATTCTTTTGAGATGTGTGTAGATAGAGAAATCCCCATGTGCAGGTGTATCGTTTCCCCACCCTGAGAGCTAGAGGGCCAGCAAGCCATGACACCTCCCAGGCAGGGGCACACCAGGCACCCAGGTCTTGGTTTTCAGTCACACTTGTCAACAAGAGAAGCCAGGGCTCCTTGAGGAAGCAGTAGATTTCAGTGCTGGGCAGGACAAGAGGAAGCTAGAACATGCGTGTGGTGCCAGAGAATAGGGATGTGCTCAGAAAAGGGGTGGAGGCGTCAGCACACTCAGGGTCACCTGGAAGGAGGGCTGGTGGCCAAAGCCAGGCAGTGCAAGCGGCCAACAGACAATGATGGCATCGGATGGTGACCCATAGAACAAACTAACATCAGGACTGTGCTGATGGGGTCCTATAGTTGGGCAGTGAGGGGCAGCTCACCTTACAGAAGACTCTAGTTAATGAACATAGAAGGAATGAGGGGTACACCAGATCATCATTAGCCAAACACAGAATAATGAGGACTGCAGTCAGGGTCCACCAATGGATGCCAAGGTCAGTGGGTATAAGATTGAGCAGAAGCAGGAAATTATCCTTATCTCCAAGTGCCCCCCCTCTGAGGAATTGAACAACTGCAGGAACAAAATGGTGACTTTTCAATGGTGAAAGCTGGCAGACTGATGCCACCTTGGCCAGGTGACCGAGGCAGCAGTCACCAATAATAAGGCTGACTGACGTGTACCCCACCCCCGGTGTGATGCTGAGGACTCCGCATCCTTTCTGCGATTTCCTGACCTCAAGCAGTCATGAGAAGACATCAGCCAGACCCTCTTTAAGAGACCCTTGGCAAAAGAGTGACCGTATCCATCAAAAATATCAAGCTCATAAAAGACAGCGGAACTGTTACAGAACAGAGGAGGATAATGAGCTACAGGGACCAAGGGTATCATGGAATTGTACACTGGGTAGTGAAACAGAAAGGAAAGACATAAGGGAGAAGTGGTGAAATATGAATGTGATCCGTGGTTTAGTTGATGGTGTTGTACCAGTGTTAACTTCCTGGTTATTAAAGACTTCACACTTTCCCCTAAAAACAGGAACAAAGCAAGGGCATCTGCACTCTGCGTCTATTCTACAGGGTATTGGAGTCCTTAAGTCCTTGCAAGAAGGCAAGAAAAATAGACAAAAAGCATTCATTGGAGAGGAAGAATAAAAATTGTATCTATAAGCAACATGGTTGACCATGTAGAAAATCCTACAGCATTTACCAAAAAAGAGTAATAAGTAACAGTGAAGTTAGTAAGAACTTTGAGATTTCCAGTGCTCCATGGCCTGGAAGGTTACAGGTTAAAAGATCAATAAGTATGAATTCACTGCATTTTTATATACTGGCAACATAGGAAAAGGTAAGCCTCACCTGGAGAGAACATATTCATAAGCACAGCCAGTGCTTCTCAGATAAAGGATTTATGTCCGAAATATGTAAAGAACTCTCTCGTTTCAATAAGAGGGAGATAACCCAATATCAAATGGACAAAACACTCCCACAGGTGCTTCACAGAAGAGGAGATATGAAGAGTGGATAATGAACAGGGAAAGGTATTCAACACTGTTAGTCACCGGATTAAACTCCTGTTGATAGAATGTCCCACACCCCTGTGATGACTCATTTTGAAGACCGACAGTATCAAGTGTTGGCAAGGGCGTGGAGCACTGGGAGTCTCACACGTTGCTGGTGAGACTCTAACATGACACACCTGCTTTGGCGATCAACTTGGCATTGCTTAGGAAGCGAAGAGCACAATCCCCATCTGTCACAGCAATCGCATCCTAGGCAGGATGGGCAAAGCTAATCAAAAGTGCAAAAAGAAACAAATCTCATCAGTCATTGTCCAGAGTAAATGGGAGGAGAATGGAGGTAAAGACACAGCAGAGGGGCAATGAGATGCTCTTCATTCAGATTGCAGTGATGGTTGTCTGGGGTAGACATTTTTTCAAAATTCACTAACTGTGCACTTTAAATGGGGCTTTATTGTGTGCAAATTAGGCTTTAATAAAGCTGCTCTCAAATGTGCTTTGACTGTTCTGTGACATCTCATTAAATTCTCAAAACCACTTTTTTAGGTGGGACTTTACTATCTCCATTATCAGCTAAGGAAACAGGTGTCAAACACAGGAACTAGCCAAACAGGATTTGAACCCAGGTCACAGGGCTCCAAGGCCTGTGCTCTGACCACAGGCCACAGAGGCAAACTATCAGGACCCACAGCCCAGCAGGACAGCATCTCTCTGAGCATAGAGCTCTTGCTGCACCTTGCCTCGCCATAGACAGCCCATCAGATCTTCTGGGAGGGCCTGGGAATCTGCATTTTGATGAGCACCACGCAGGCCCACCACTAGAGCAGCAGACAAGGCTGCCCAGAGGACAGTCCTTGTCCCAGACCCAACCTGGGTTTGAATCCTGGCCCTTCCAGCCCCTCGTTTGCCCCTCTCTGCCCCAGACATTCTCATCTACAATGTTGGCATCAGCACAGTGCCACCCCAGGGATGCTCCAAGATCCACATGATCCAAGTAGGTGTTAGGCACTGCCTGGCACCTGGCACCGAGGGCACCTCCATAGGTGGATCCTGCCCAGACACCCAGGTATGCTCTCTCCTCCCTGCAGGCCCTGGCCTGGCCTTCATCGCCTACCCCAAGGCCGTCACCATGATGCCTCTGTCCCCGCTGTGGGCAACCCTGTTCTTCATGATGCTCATCTTCCTGGGTCTGGACAGCCAGGTAAGGGGATGAGAGGGTTACAGGGAGCAGGCACTTCTGGCAGGAGAGCCCAGCTCAGGCAAGCTCCACCCTGCCATCTCCCAGCACCCTCTCACCCACCCGGCAGCTCCTCAGTCCCCTGCATCAGCTGGCATCCGTTCAAGTTTTCCCACTGGGAAATCCCAGTTTCCTATTCAAATTTGTTATTTTTTAAATTTTTTCAATGCTTCCATTCTGCTGACCTATTCCTGCCCTGGCAAAGTGGAAGGACATCCTAGAGAGAGCCAGCTGTGGCTGTGGTACCCTGGGGCCACAGCACATGTGTCCCTGTCCCAACCCTGTCACCAAGGCCACCTCTTCTTCCTGCTTCTGTCTCTGTGTTAGGATCACCTCAGCCCCACCCTCTTGCTTCTGCCTTCACCGTGTGGCACTCGGGGGAAGGGTGTCCCTAGCGCAGGTGCATAATGAGGTGGAGCATTGATGACCTGCGTGTCCCCAGCCCTGTCTCCATCGGGCACCCACCTGGCCTGCCCTTCCTGGAGCTTCCCAGCCAGAGCCCCATGGCTGCCATGCGCCCAGCACCCCAGACCCCTGCCCTTCCCTGCACCCAAGAGCCCCCACCCCGGCTGTGACCTGGCGTCCTGGGGCTCTTGGTGAGCAGGTGCCTGCCGAGTGGGCACACAGATGAGCGGCCCCACTTTAACAAGGTGGCAGCCTGGGCCTGCTGGGTGCAGGGTGAGAGCCAGCTCCTCCTGTGACCTTGAGGGACTCGCTCAGCACACGAGTCCTGTGGCTGTGTGCCTGTCAACTACCCGTCCAATTCCTCCCTCTCCGCCTGGCCCCAGGAGCTGCTAAGCTGAGCCAGGAGGCGCCGGGTGTTTCTGCTGATAATCTCGCTCCCATTGTTGGGGACAGAGACCTCAGGGATCAGGGATGGCAGCTGGTGCGTGACAGGAAGGGATGGGCCTGGCCGAGGAGGATGACGAGGTTGCCATGGCCAGGTCTAGCTCATTTGCTGTGTGCCCAGCCTGTATACCCAGCTCATCATCACCATAATCCTGTGGGCTGGGGCCCTTCGTGCTACCCATTCTGCAGAAGCCGGGGCCCACAGAGGCTGAGCAACTGCACTACAGAGCCTCATTCCCACCCCATGAGCAGCTCCCACTACCTGCCCTGGGGACCTGGAGACAGGAGAGGAAGGCGAGGCCTTGCCTTGCCCAGAGCCTGGGTTTGGTCCAGTGCCAGGGATCTTGAAGCCATGTGGCTCTGGCAGTCATTTCACTTCTGTGTGCTTCGTGGCTTTGTTCACACAGGAGGGATGCAAATACCTTTTCTGAGGGGGTAAAAGTGAATCATCAAGGATTTAAGGTCCAGAAGCTGCCCTGGGGAAGGGGAGTCTATCAACACAGTGACCAGCAAGAAAGTCCTTGACTCCTGCCCCACACACCCTCCCACCAGTGGGCACAGTAGGGGCCCAGCCTTGAGGTGAGGATGTGTGGTTCAGAGAGTAGCTGTGGGCAGGGTAGACGCCTGCTCGTGACAGCAGGCTCCATGTGGAGTCGCTAAATCAATAAGCAGTGACGGCGTGTCGCAAGCGCTGGCAGTGCTGTTGGCAATACAGTGGACCCCCGAAATTTGCAGGAGTGACATTCCTAGAGCACCCAAGAATTGTGAAAAACCACAAATTTCAGATATGGTCAGAAAAGTGCCTATAAATGCTTGTTTTATAGTTTAAACCCTCAATACGCTATGTCTTCTGCATTTATATAATTTAATTTAATAAAATACTGTATTAAAAAAGCCTTAGAGGGTGCAGTGCATTTTGGCAGCATCTTAGGGATCTTAGGGCTTTAAGAAGAACAAAACAAGAACACTGGAGATAGCTGAGCCAGTACAGCAACCTGTTATGATGCAGGAATGCTGGTGTATCTGCTGGGGATGGGTTACAGGGCAGCAAGCAGTCAGCAGCAAGGAGGACTGAATAATACTCTCAGATTGGCTACTTGCAAACCTCCAGCAAAAAAAAAAAAACAATTGCAAAGGATACATATTCAAGGTTTCCAAAATTGCAGGGGGGTTCCGCAAACAGTTATTAATTAGGTTCTAAGGAAAAATCCCATAAACAACTGAGACCACAAAATCTGAACAGTGACTGTAGCATTTGTAGGAACGGTCATCCTGCGTATGAGGTCCTGCACTGGAAACTGGAAATAGGTGAAAACAATGTGGCCCTGCCCCTATGACCTCTCCTTCTTACTAGGTGACAGATGTAGGCAAGCCAGGACCCCTGGGTGAGGAGGAGAGGCAAAGACTGTTCTCTGGGAGCCAATGGCAAGGAGTGGCTACAAGATCTGCCCTCAGTGCTATGAGAACCCAGAGAAGGGACTGCTTTCTGGGTTGGGATACTTGGGCTGGGTATTGATGGGTAGGTAGGAGTTGGACTGAAACTGTATGCCGGCCCTGTGCTCCATGCTGGGATTCAGATGCTCGGCAGCTCAATCTCAGCCATCGGTGTCTGCACCATTTGGCCGGAGCCCAGGTCCACCCAGCAGAGACAGGGAGCTGGGTGTTGCCTCACCTCTGACTGCCCTCACCTAGCAGTGAGCACTTGCCCACCTGGAGCAGGGCAGGGAGCCAGCAGTCCCAGAGCACTGGGCCGGGGACAGGGACGCCGGCTCCTGCTTTGCCTCCCAGGTCTCGTTCCAGTCCTTGCCCCACACCAGGGCCAGTGCAAGTCAGACCACAGAGCTGGCTCAGGCTCTGCAGGCTGAGTGGCCTGGGAAGCCCGGCCCTGCCTGTTTCTGGGCTCACTGCACAGCCAGTGATGAGGTCGCAGTCATCGTTCTTGGGTCCCCATGTGGGGAGAGGGTGGGGTACGGCTGGCCTGCTGGGAAAGAAGCCTCTTCTGGGATCTCACAGCACAGTGTCCCCTGCAGTTTGTGTGCGTGGAAAGCCTGGTGACAGCCGTGGTGGACATGTACCCCAAGGTCTTCCGGAGGGGCTACCGGCGGGAGCTGCTCATCCTGGCGCTGTCTGTGGTCTCCTTCTTCCTGGGCCTCGTGATGCTGACGGAGGTGAGCATATGGGGCAGCTGTGAGGGGCTCGGGGGTGGGCAGACCATGACCCCAGCTCTGGGGTGGCCTGGCTGTGAGTCCTCACCAAGCCTGGGCACTAGTAGGGCAGAGACACAGGACGATCCTAGGCACATACGTGGGCACCTAGGTCATCCCGACCAGTGACTTCTGGGCGAAGGGGACAGCATCAGCTACTGGCTCCTAAACTGCTTACCTGTCCCAGGTCTCAAGTTCCAAGCAGGCTTGTCTGGGAACAGGCACTTCTGTGAGGTGTGCTTTGTCCTCTGCCCCCTGAACATCATCTGCTGGGCCTCCAGTGTGTGGGGGTCTCCATGACCCCCAAATTGAGACTCTCATAAACCGTGCCTCCCCTGCCCCTGCAGCCGTTCTTGTACTTAGTGCCTTGGGAAGGTATCTTTCTCCCACATGCTCAAAGGTAATTAAGAAAAACTCCTGCTGCCAGGAGACAGGCAGAGGGTTTGTGAGAACCATGGTGGGAGGGGTGCTCAGAATCCATCAGAGCAGCCATGTGAAACCCAGCTGGTCTGGGAAGCACTGGGCCGGTGGCTCCTTGTTGAACCTACTCATCCTCCTACCCCGCTGCCTCCAGGAAGCTGCCCTGCCTGCTTTACCTGTCTGGTCCCAGCCTCTGCCCCTGGGTCCCCAGCCCAGCTACCTTCCTTGTCCCGGTGTCTCAGTGGTCCGTGGTCCCTGTCCACCTGCCTGCCGTCAGGCTGCAGGCCATCAGAGCCAGCACAGGCCTGGCCCGGGTGCTCAGTGTGGCTGCTGTTCACTACCCAGGCTCCTGGTCATTGTGCCTTCCATAATCCATGTTAGAGGAGATGCACAGTGAGTGGAGCAGTCTTCCTCCTCCCTCCTGCAGGCCTGGAGCAAGCAGGGCCTCATTAAGCGCTCATTAATCATGCAAAGAGAAGTCTTTTTTTGCATACAAATTGGGAGGCTGACCTGATCCCTTAAAGAGGCTGACAGGGAGGGGCTGGAGTCACAAGAAGAGCAGGTGAAACACGGCATCCCCTGCCTGCCATGGCCCCTCTGCCAGAGGCCTGGATCCGTCTGAGGGCACTTGATGACCCAGGGCCATCAGGGCTCCAGTATGAGCAGCTGAAATGCAGATTGGTCCATTTCAGCAGGAACATAATGGGCAGGGCATCGTGAAGCACCAATTGCGGGGCTGTGGTGGCCTCAACCCTCGAAGTTGCTGGCTGGATCTCCTCCCTCATTCAGAGCTCAGTCCAGGGCAAGCACAGCCCACCAGCTCCTGGCCTCCACTAGGTAGGGTACTGGTTGGCAAAGACCCAGGCTCCACAGACGGACCATCTGTCAGGCTCTGTGTTTGGCTCCTCACCAGCCATCTGAAACCCTGCAGCTCTCTGTGCCTCCGTTTTTCCTATAGCGTAGTGCCTGCCTTGGGATCACATTGGAAAGGACTAAGAAGTCAGCCAAGATGCAGGAAGCAGGTGAAACAGAGCCTGGTACAGTCACACTTGGTGCCTGATGGGATGTGTCCTGAGGACTCGCTGTTAGGCACTTTCACTGTGTGGATGACACAAAACAAACTCACATATCTGGGACGGGTGACATCCCCCAGGGCTGCAGTCTCAGGAGACCTCTGTCCTGTGCATGACGCCATAGTGCCACTGAACTGTGCTTGGTGCTGCCTGTGGCCCCGCTCTGCATTTAATGGAAGGAAGCTAGTTGGAAGGGTGTCAAGGGTCACCTCAGAGCCAACCCTGCTGCCAGGCCCAGGGTGCTCAGGCTGCCCTGACGCCCACGGACATGATGGCCACTACAGTGTCGCAGGCCAGAGGCCTCAGGCACACGTGGCCTACACATCTGCATTGCTTCACCCTTGCTGTGTTTTATTAAACACGCCAAAGTCATCAACCATGGAAAGAGAGAAACTTGCCCATGAAAATCTGGATTTCTGGTGTCTTCCAGAAAGTTTGCAGTGATGGCCTCCCTGCTGTGGCCCAGAGCACTGTGGCTCTCCCACGGGCCCAGTCCCCACTGCTCCCCAGTGTCACATCCAGCCCACACTTCTCATTCACAGCAAACGGGCAGCCCTGTGGGTGTTGGCACAGTGCCTCAAGCTGCTGAAGAGGGGAATGAGGACACAGAGGGCCTGGTTGTGAGGCCTGTGCAGGAGCAAGGAGCAAACACAGGGCACACACAGGGGTGCTCTGACACATGAGAGCCTGTGGGGTGCCCAGAGTCTGGCTCCTATGCCCTCTCTTTCCCCTGCATCTATGCACTGTGGTGACAGCCCTTGCTGAGTGACAAAGACCCCTGCAGACTGTCACCGCACTGCAGCCCTCCGGCACCTCCCACCCTCCTGGACCCCAGCTGGCTGAGCTCGGGCCCGCCAGGACATCCATGGAGCTTGGTGACCACGGAGTCCTTTGATATCCATGGGGTATGGGTCCCGGGACCCAAATCCACAGAGGCAAAACACGGTGGAGCCCTCCTAGTCCCCCTGGGCACCGGCGTCTCTCAGTGGCTTTCCATACCTACTACAGTGACCAAGCTTGGGGTGCACACTAGTTCAGTATCTGGGGGACCGCGACATGGACAGTGTTTGGATAGGTTCAGCACAGAGGCTTTTGTTCCCAAATATTTTTGGTTCAAGGGAGGCCGAATCCAGGGGTCAGAGCTTGCGGAGGTGGGGGCCAACCACCTACCACGAGTCAGCCTAACCATTCCCCCTTGGCCTAGACCAGCCAGCCAGGTCCCTGCCCCACAGGGCTCACACTGCATGACTCAGGGACCTACTGCACATCAGGTGCCACACAGGACTCAAGTGGGGTCTTCTCAACTGGAGTGCCTGACCTCGACTTATTTTCAGTGTGGCCTCTGGTCCTGGGAGAGTTGGGTAGGCTGAGACAGGACATGCCATCACCTTCCGGGTGCCCAGGCATAGAGGCTACAGTGTTCAGAGGAAGAATAGGCAGACCCCTGGCCAGTGGCAGCCCCCAAGTGCATCAAGTGCAGTTACCAAGGCCAGCCAGCAAGCTGTCCACGTATCTGTCCCTGTCCACAGGGTGGCATGTACATCTTCCAGCTCTTCGACTCCTATGCCGCCAGCGGGATGTGCCTGCTCTTTGTGGCCATCTTTGAGTGCGTGTGTATCGGCTGGGTGTATGGTAAGTGGAGGTCCCCACCCCCGGGAACCTTCCTGTCTTCTCACCCCCACAGCAGCAGCGGGTTTAGGGGCCAGGCACTGTGACCTCAGGCCAGAGCTGGTACCCTGCGTCTCAGTTTCCCCCTATGAGATGGAGCTGCTGTCACTATGTCTCTAGAGAGGAGACAGTGTAGAAAAAGCAGCCCTAAAACACTGCCTTTTAGTCCTCCTGTTGCCCAAACTGAGCTATGCAGGGGTGCCAGGCTTGGAGACGGTGGAGTAGCTGCCCTGCTCCTTCCAGCCCTACCCAGCCAGGCCACCACCTGAACAGGTCAGCCAGCCCATCTCCTGGCCTCACCTCTCCAAAGGGAGCCCCTTCCACCTTCCTCCAGAATCCCTGTGCTCTCAGGCCCCCCACCCAAGGAGCACAAGAAGGCTTAACTGAGCTCAGGCTCCACAGGTTCCAGCCTGGGCCTCAGCTGAGAGCAGAAGCTCATGTCAAGAGCATGGTCTGTAAAACCAAGATATCTCAAGCCAGGGATAAGAAGAAAAGGCCAGGCAAGCTCCCCAAATCCTTCCTGGGAGGGCAGCCCAATGAATGACCTAGGGACTACCCAACAGGCCCCACCTCCTAAAGGGCCACTTCCAAAGAGCAAGGACCAAGTCTTTGCACAAGGTCTTTGGGGGACATTCATCACCCAAGCCATAGCCTTGTGTCACCTCGTGGTAACATTAAGTGATAAATAAGGGCATTGAGTTTCATCTCCATCTGTTCTGCTCTGCAAAGGAAGCAACCGGTTCTATGACAACATTGAAGACATGATTGGCTACCAGCCACTGTCACTCATTAAGTGGTGCTGGAAGGTGGTGACCCCTGGGATCTGTGCGGTAAGTACCAGCCAGGTGCTACCCCCAGTGCCCCACCTGCTCAGTCACCCTCCATGTCCCCACCCAGCCTTGCTGGCCCTGAGAAGGCACATGTCCCCAGGTCCCAGCCTCGTAAATCTGAGGTTACAGGGACAGACTCTGAGTCTGGCCGGGCCCTCAGCAGATCCCAGCTCTGCCACTAGCTTGCTGGGTGGCCCGAGCAAGTGTCCCTCTGCCTTGGGCCTGGGCTGTGCCTTGCTGCCACCAAGGCCATGTGAACACTAAGGTTTTGCTTTGTTGTTAACTATGGTGGTGACAGAGCTGAGGTAATGTCCGGCTCATGCTGTTCCTCAAAACTAGACCACAAGGGGTCTTATTGAGCGGCAGGAGACACAAAACAACTTGCCACCTCGTCACCCATTGTCTGCTTCCCTGCCTGGAACAATCTCAAAGCATCTCAGTCTGGAGAGTGTGGGAGAGTAGCTTTGAACAAGCCTTTGAGGAAGTGACAGGGACAAAACAAGAGTCCCTGGATGGGCCGAGGCCCCAGGGTAGTGGGAGGTCTCAGGACCCCAGGGGCTGGGGGCCGAGTCGCATCCCCATGCGTCTGATACTCCAGGTGGTTCTGCCCCACGTTGCTGTGGACAGGCAGATGGTGGCGGCCGCGGGGACTTCTCATCTCTCTGTAGGGCATCTTCATCTTCTTCCTTGTCAAGTATAAGCCACTCAAGTACAACAATGTCTACACCTACCCTGCCTGGGGCTATGGCATCGGCTGGCTCATGGCACTGTCCTCCATGCTGTGCATTCCACTCTGGATCTGCATTCAGCTGTGGCGGATGGAAGGCACGCTCCCCGAGGTGAGGGAGGGGATGACACAGGGCATGCTGCCCAGGGTGGGAGGGGGCAGGCAGGGATGGAGAGCATGCACGGGTTCAGGCACCTCACTGGTCTCAGCTTCTTCCCCTGGGTAATGGACATGATGCAGATATGCCAACCTGTATCTCAAGAAAGCCATGGGCCAGCTCCTCTTTGGCAGGCATCCATCATGGCAACTGTGCTGGAGGTGTCTCTGTGAGGCCTCAGGGGCGTGCTGTCCACTTTCCTGTCACTGGAAACAATGCCCAACACGTTCAGCTTAAAGGAGGAGAGTTTATTTTTGCTCACATTATCCTATGCTTCATTTTTGGCTAGCTCCAGAGCAGAAATGGTATAGTGGAAGGGCCTAGCAGAGGAAAGCTGCTCACCTCATGCCATCCAGGAAGCAGAGAAAGAAGGAAGGAGCTGAGGAGAAGAATACTCCCTTCAGGTCACTCCCCCAGTGACTGGCCTCCACCTAGCCCCCACCTCCAAACAGCACATTCAGTCATGAACCCCTCAATGGATAAATTCACTGATGAGTATAGCACCTCACAATCCAATCACCCTTCAAACACATGAGACTTTGGGGGAGTATTTTAGATCTAAACCATTGCATCCCACCCGAACCCTTAAATAGTTCATATATATCTCATTATGCAAAATACATTTAGTCCATCCCTAAGAACTGCCAAAATCCTAACAATTCCAGCATCGCTGAAAAGTCCAAGTCCAAAGTCTCCCCTGAGACTCAAGACAAACTCTTATCTATGAGCCCCTATGAAAAGCAAAAAGAAAATTAAATACTTCCAACATACAGTGACATGGGGTGATGATTCCCAACCCCAAAGGGAGGACTATGGAAATAGAAAGAAAAAATAAATAAATAAAAATAAATAAAAAAGAAAAAAAAAAGAAATAGAAAGAAATTGGACCAAAGCAAGACTGAAACCCAGCAGGACAAACATTAAATCCTATAGCTCCATGTCCACTATCTGGGGCAGTTTATGGTGAGATATGAGGCCCAAAGGGCTTGGGTGGCACTTCTGTGGTTTCCTCAACAGACATTCCACAGTCCTGGCATCTTCAGCTTCTTAGCATCACAAGTTCATACACTGCCCTCTCAGTGGCACATTGCTCAGTGCCCCCAGGGCTCTCTCTGAAATCTGGGTAGAAGCTACCATGACCCCATAGCTCTTGCATTCTGTGTGCTTGTAAAACCAGCACCACATGGATGATGCCAAAGTCTGCTCTGACTTGAGCAGTAGCCAGGGCCCATTGCATCATGGCCACAGAGGTCTCCTAGTACCTGGGTGGCTGAGAAATGTGAAATGAATGCACAGGAACCAGTTCCCTAGGCAACTCTTCTTAAGCATGGAGACTGGGGACTCTTCTCAAATGAAAACTTAACAATTCTATACCCTTGAACCTGTGAAGGGTGGGATTTTTTTTGATTCCTGAGATGCCTCCAAGCCATCTTTCCTATTATCCTGATGCAAAGTATTTGGCTTCTTTCTAATGCTTATCTTCTCAGCAACCATGCTTTCCAAGGCCCCAACATTGTAAGCACTTCCTTTCTGATGAAACTGCAAACTTTTTACATCTGGTTTTTGTTCCTGATTCTTACTATGGGTCTGGGTAAAAGCAGCTAACAGTACCCATGCCACTGCCTGAATGTTGGGCTGCCTTGACATTTTCTCCACAAGATTACTCTACTGCTCTTAACCTTAGTCTACCACAAAGTCCCCAAACATAAATAAAATGCAGACACATTTTCTGCCAGAGTATAACACACATGGCCTCTAGTCCAATATGCCAATATAGTCCTTATGTCCAACTGAAACATCCTGAGCCTGGCCTTTACTGTCTGCATTCCTGTCAGAATCTGATTTTCTGAGCTCTGACCAAAATCTCCCATCAATCTCTGCTTACTCTGATTGCACAGCATTCTAAGACTTCTCTAGCTGGCATCTCCAACAAATCTTTTCAAATTCTTGCTGCAAACCGAAGACTTCTGAGTCACTATGTAGCCCAGGCTGGCCTCAAACTCCCTGAGATCCTCCTGCCTCAGCCTCCCAAGTGCTGGGATTACAGGTGTGCACCACCACACCCAGCTTTGTATTAGTCACTTTCTTGTCATTGGAACACAATACCCAACACTCACAATGTAAAGGAGAGAGTTAATTTGACTCACAGCTTCCAATGGGTTCAGCCCATGGTTGGCTGGCTCCAAAGCAGAAATGCATGGTGGAAGGGCATGGCAGAGGAAAGCAGAGAGAGAGAGAGAGAGAGAGAGACAGAGAGAGAGACAGAGAGAGAGACAGAGACAGGCTGATATCTCCATGAGTAGAAGGGAGGAGCTGGGGATAGGAATATACCCTTTCAGGTCACACCCCAGGGACTTGCCAGCAACCAGGCCCTACTCCTCTAACAGCACATTCAGCTACTGAATTCATCAGTGAATCCACTGGTGAGTATAGCACCCCCATGACCCAATCATCTTCCAAAAGCTCCAACTCTGAACACAAGAGGCTTTGGGGAACTTTTTTTTTTTTTTTGGTACTGGGAATCAAACTCAGGACCTTCCACTTCTGAGGCAGGTGGCGGCATCACTGAGCTAAATCCCTGGCCCGGGGGACATTTTTTATCCAAACTATGACACTTGGCTCACATGGCTAGCCAATGGCCCAACAGCAATTCAAACCCCGGCTTCTTAGCTCCTGCCAGAGAGCAGGGACCAGGTAGTGGGTCCTGATTCCAGTTCTCGGGTTCTAATCACCTGCTTGAGACCACCTAGGAGGCCATGCACTTCTATACACCCTCATCTCCTTGCTACTCACTAGCACAAGGAACAGGGACCTCTATTGTCCCTATTCCCCAGGGCAGGAAACAGAGGCCCATGGAGGCCAGTGGATCACCCAGGACAGAGCACTATGGCAGAGCCAGGACCTGGGCCTCAGTCTGATAGATGCACCGCACCGAGGCACCCACCTGTGTGCTGGCAAGGCCAAGGCTGACCCCCAGGCCCTGGCAGCTCCCTGAGGCAGCTCTTCTCCTCCCCAACATTTAGAAATTCCGGAAGTTGACAATCCCCAGTGCAGATCTGAAAATGCGGGGCAAGCTTGGGGCAGGCCCATGGACGGTGACAGTTAATGACTGTGACGCCAAGCTCAAGGGTGACGGCAGCATCGCAGCCATCACAGAGAAGGAGACGCACTTCTGAGCCTGCCCGCCTGCCCGCCACCTCGATGCTCCTCCTCCCCTCCCTGTGTGTAAATGACCCCGAGCTTCTCCTAGTGGTAGGGGCTTTGCTTCTGTACACAGGATATATTAACATGTTAATCTCCACTGTACACTTGGCTGACAGCCCCCGTCCCCACCTCGCTCGGTAACCACGGAAGTATCTGCCACCTCTTGATAATACTGTACAGCGACTAGCACCCCTCGCATCCCGCCGTGGTTTTAATCAGTGTGTCCTAGGGGTCAGTGTGCCATATTGTAAAACTTTTATACTGGGGCTACGGGCAGGTGGGGTGGGGAGTGACAAATGCTGTTCTCTGTCAGTCTCTTCACCCACCGTTCCTGTCCCATATTTGTCCCTGATTCTGTGGGCAGTCGGCCTTTCCGGGTCCCCAGGAAGAGCTTCTCTCTTGAATCTTCCCTTTTTTGGGGGTGGGGTGGGGTTGCAGGCTGAAGGTCACATAGCAGAGCAGAGAAAGTCCTAGAAGTCTGGGGACTCCTGGGTCACAGGCCCCCTGCCTAGATCCCACTAAGTGACCTTGGCCACTCTCTTCCCCTCCTTGGGCCTCAGTGTCCCCAGCTCCCAAATTGGGGGATTCTCTTTTTGCCTCCCTCCCCTGAAGCACTGCCATTGACCTTGGCTCCTTCCGAAGACTCACAGGCCACCCCCCCCCCCCCGTACCCACCTGGAACCCTGTCCCCACCTGCTCACTGGAAACCAGATTTCTCCTGCAATGATGTGGTGACGTGTGTGTCCACCCCCGGGTCTCACCCTCCCTCTGTGCCTCCAACCTGGGCAGGGCTGATGGAGGGGCCATGGTGGCTTCTGGCTTAGGAGCTGAAGAACTTCCTGCAGCCTCCCAAAGCGAGCACTGCACAGAGGCCACAGGCCGCGCCTCTGTCCCCAGCCACCTCTTCTGCTCGCTGTCCCCTGCCCACTTCCTCCCACCTCGTACATCTTGGCAGACCCTGTGTGGAGACTGCTTCCCTACCCTTCCGTGTTCTCTGCGCCAGTGGCCAGAAGCCCCAGCTCCTGCCTATCCAGACGACCTGGGGGTGATCTGGACCCCCTCTGGCTCTTGGGGTGGGGGTGTGGGCCTTAGGCCATGGAGAGGCAGGGCTGTCCCCTCCCTGCCTGGCCTCGGGCCTCGAGAGCGATCCCTTTCTCTGATGAACTGGATTTCACGTCGAGCCTCTGTGTTGCCTTCTGAGCTATGGGGGTGGGGAAGGCGTATTATTTCTCCTCCCCCACAGGCCCCAATTCCATTTGATGGAAATGTGAACTTTCTCCAAAGGAGACCCATGTGTTCCACTGACCCCAAGGTTCCCCAACACCCCTCTTGTCTACTCCAACCAGCCCCCACCTAAAGCTGGAGTTTGCTCCCAGAGAGGCCCAGTGCCCCAAGACAGGTAAGGGCACCTTGTTCTGGGGCCCCTCTTGCACCCAGCTGCTCTCAGCCAGGCCAGCACACCCTGAGCCATCTGACCTGGGGGCACCCGGTGGGACTCCCTGCACTTGCTGGTCCTCAGCCGCACCCCTCCCAGCAAGCTCCGGGGAGGGAGATCTACTGCTGCTACAGTCCCGCCACCTGCTCCCGCAGGCCGATGGACAGACCTACTGGTCCCTGAGGCCTGTCGCTGGGACGCACGCACCAGACACGTGGCTCTTAACACTTGACACTCTTAACCCTACTCATGAAGGGGGCGGAGGGGGCTGGGTTTTCTGTGTTTTGTAATTTCCTACTAGGATCCAGGTAACTTTGTGGGGTGGGGAGGGTGATGTGGGGCGGGGCCGTGTCATTGTGATGACTTTTTTGATATTTGTTAGGAACAATACATCCTATTTACGGTATTATTAAAAAATGAAAACAGTTGTCTTGTTTTGCATCTTGAATGTTCTTACCAGAGACCGTGCGGACGCACGATGCACTGCTTACTTGTTTTTAAAAAGCAAAAGTAGACGAAATCCTCACATGGCTGCTCCCCGCCGGGTGATAGTGCTATGTTTTCCTTCCATTTCTTTTTTTTGGTACCAGGGATTGAACTCCGGACCTTGCACTTTTGAGGCAGGCACCAGAACCACTGAGCTAAATCCCCGGCCCCTCCTTTCATTTCACTGAGATTAGGAGCAAAAGGAAGCCCTGTCTACCTTCGTTCCCATGTTCACCCTTCACACCGAGTGTGCTGGCTGCTTTACAGAAGTTATCTCTTCCATCCTCACCATAACTGTAAAATGGGCGCTTCCATTTTATTTATTTATGACTTGACCCATTTCACAGATAGGGGACATGAGGCCCAGAAAAGGCAAGCAGTTTGCTCACAGTGACACGGCTAAGCAACAGCAAAAAGAGAACTCAGATCTGTCTGATCCTGTCTCTTCATCACAATGCCTTAACCATTCCCCATGCCCAAGGCTCAAAGAAAGGAGTAGCCACCTCCCGGTGGCCAAAAATCGCTGCCACCAAGCTCACAGCCTGTCCACGTAGCAGACCTGGTGTCTGAGGAGTAAGCAGAGCCGAAAGAGAAGAGGGTCTGCAGCCCGGTTTCGACCCAGATGCCGGGTGGCTGGACAGGTCCTGGGAGCCCGAGTAGAGCTGTGATTATTATCCTGAGAGAATAGTGTCAGCACTCGAGAAGGGTTGGGCTAGTGCTCAGAACAGAGACAAAATCTCTCAGTTTGTACCTGAGATTTCGAGATACCCACTGGAAGGAAGCCACAGAGCTAGTGTGGCCCTGCCAGCCTGTGGGATAGGCTGTCGGCTCCTTTCTTAAAATCCCTCTTCTCAGGTTCCAGAGAACATGCCTCGGCCTCTGTCCCTCCCTGCGGAGGTGACGCCTGCTCACAGGGAAAGCGTCCCACAGATGCCATCCACCCAGGGGCCCTGAGGACCTCGTCATTCCTTAGAGCCACAGGGACTGATTGGTGCATCCCTGTCCTCTGCCCCTTCCCTCCGTGTGTCTGAATTTGTGTTACATCAGGCAAGTTTCAGCAGCAAGCCAAGAAGCACCTAAGTCACGGGAATGTGGGTCTCCCCCTGCCCAAGTTTCATTACCTTCTCATCACTGAGACACAGTACCTGACACCCACAACTGTAGGGAGAAAGATTTATTTGGGCTCAGTTAATAGAGGTTTCAGTCTTCTTGGCTCTCAGTCTTGAGTCCACTGGCTCTCAGTCAGGGTGGCATGGCAGAGGAGAAAGGGCTCATGGCATGGAAGACAGAAAGCAGAGAGCACTCAAGAGAGAAGGGAGGGAGAGAGGGGCCCTTCCAGGCCACGCCCTCAGTGACCACCTCCTCGCACCAGGCTTCACCTCCCAACATCACATTTAGCTATAAACTTAGCAGTGGACTAATCCACTGATGAGTATCATGGCCCCATGATCCAATCACCTCCCAAAAGCTCCACTGATGAGTGCATGAGGCTTTGGAGGACATCTAGATATAAACCATGACACGAGGAAACCTGATTTGCACACCTTTGAGCATATGGGATTGGTAACCAGGGGAACTCATTTACCTGGTAGAGCAGTTGGCTGCACTGTGTACTAGCAACCCCTCCTGGCCAAGTGTGGCTCTACATCCTAGCTCTATTAGACATGGCAACTAAACAGAGGGGAGAGGAGCCTTAGAGTGGGGTCCAGGGCTCCTTACTTTGGCCCTAAGAGGCTTTCCTGGAGGCCGGTGGAGAGGAGCAAGCACCAGAGAGCAGGGATTTTGGGCTGAGAACTACACAGTTTGGTACATGGGGTCCTTTCACTGCTCAGCTGGCCTTTCCTGCACCCCCAGGCTCCATGCCTCACCCCTGGGACTAGGATATGGAGGCAGTGAGGGATCCCTTCCTCAGCCATTCCTGCCCTTCTTTGTCAGGGGGAGAGGCGTCCATACCCTCTGGATGGGACACATGGTGGGGAGGAGCCTCTGTTCCTGTGCCCAGCCTCCTCAGCATCCCTGGGCTTCAGCTTAGCCACAGGTGGAACAGTGAAGAAAAGAGACCTAAGGAAGGCAGACATCTGCCCCAGGATTCCCCCAGGACTCTGGCACTCTGCCACCTCACAGTCAGTCACTGCACCATCTCAGGCTGTTAAAACACAAGTTCTCTATGCTGGGCATGGTGCCACATGCCTGTAATCCCAGCACCCAGGAGGCTGAAGCAGGAGGATCACTGCCAGTTTGGAGCCAGCCTGGGCTGCATAGTGAGTTCAAGACCAGCCTGGACTACACTGCAAGAACCAACCAAAGAAATCCAAATGCTCTCTCGGTTCAACACCCATGACCCAGCAGGGAGAAAGCCTTCGTAGGCTAACTCTGGCAACTTCTCTGCCCGCCCCCCCCCCCATTTGGTGGAGATTGAATCTGAGGCCTTCCCACTGAGCTACATCCCCAGCCATTTTTAAATTTTTAAATTTTGAGATAGGTTCTCACTAAGTTGCTAAGTTACCCAGCCTGGGCTCAAACTTGGCAATCCTCCTGCTTCAGCCTCCCAGAGTGCTGGGATTACAGGTGAGCACCACTCCTACTTTTGAACAAGGCCACTTTGTAGGGAGCCTAAAGGGGCAACATGCCCTGCTCCCAGAGCTTCCCACTAGTCTGGAATCCATAGCCACCACGAGAACCCCAGGGCCATGGGCTGGGCTGGGGCCACCTGCTGTGCTTGAAGTCACCTGTGCCACCTCCTCAGAGCCTCACAGCCAGCCTAAGAGCTCAGAGCTTGAGGAACCATGTCACATGAGGAGGCCAATGTTGTAAACTGGAAACGAAAGCCATCTCCCTGCCTTGCTGTCACTAACGCTGCCCCCCATCTCATGCCCACAAGGTGAGG